GAGGGAGTAAGAGGGAGAGAGGGAGAGAGGGAAGGACCAGCTGTGGCTACAGAGAGACCCTGTCTCAAAAAGAAAGAAAGAGAGAGAGAGAGAGAGAGAGAGAGAGAGAGAGAGAGATGAAGAGAGGAAGAGAGTATAAGAGAAAGGTGCCAGAGCAATGGTTCTCAAGCTGAAGCTCATGGGTGAATCATGTGGTGGGCTTGGTCAAAGTTAATTGCTGACCCCTGCCTGCAGAGTTTCTGACTGGGTAGTTCTGAGGTAGAGCCCAAGAATTACACAAATTCTCAAACATTCTCAGTGAGGTGGTGTGAGGCTTATATTAAGGGACAGGGAGAAGGATCTGAAGATTTTGCTTTCAATATGATCTTTCTTTGGACTGAAATTTGATCCTTTGAAACAGAACCATAGGGCCAGCGAAATGGCTTACTGGTGGCCACCAAGCCTAATGACCTGAGTTAGATCCCCGGAACTCACACAGTGCAAGGAGAGAACTGATTACTACAAGTTGTCCCTTGACCTCCACATACATATATTGCATGACGTTTGGGTGCCTACACGCATATAAATAATAAATAAATAAATAAATAATAAATAAATAAATAAATAGGGTAATTAAACAGAACTATACCATGCTCTAAAATTTGTAGTTCAGAATATGTGGTCAAAGCAAATGACTTTAACAAATGTTATTTAAGATCTTTCCTTAGTAAATAGATGGAGTAGGACCAACTGTTTAACAAGAGATTTTGTTTGTTTTAAATAACATTTCCTTTTCCTGATGATATAAAGTATCATATTATAGAAACTTTGAGAAATTCAAGAAAATGTAGGCTAATTCCAGCCCCCAGAAACAACCACTCTTGCCATCATAGTCCATGTGAAAAAAAGAAAGTTTGAAAAAAACGACAAGGAATTGCCTGCTGAAGATATAGGCCAAACTTAATCTGTAATGGTCAGGGTCAGTGATCTGAGTCTGGTTTCAGGCATATACTCAAAGGTTGCCTGCTGTTTTACAGGAAAAGAGAAATAACTTTCATTGGATGTCTGCGCTGTGTGTGGCCTTTGTGTCTGCTTCCTCATTGAATCCTCGCAGGGACTGTAGATCAGGCAAGGGACTAAAGGTCAGAGAAGCCTCACTGCTAGGAAGTAACTTTGGCCTTGTGGTGTTAAATCCGTGTACTTCTGCTTGTGTATGTATTGTATGTATGTATGTCCCACGCAGGAGCTGTCACAGCCTCTGTAGATCAACTGAGATTATGTAAACTCCTTAAAGAGGGGAAAATGGCAAAGGACTCAGTATGCACTGTGGGGCTCCCTACCTTTCAAGGACCTCTGGGGCAGAAGCCATGGAGACGTCACTGTCACTGGAGTGGTGATATGTGAGATGAGATGAGAAAAACCCTCCCAGGATGTCTTCATAGAATCTCTAGGTCCACAGGGCCATAAAAGCAGGCAGGACTGGGACAAAGCTAGCACAGATGATGGATACATGCAGTCAGTGAGCTGAGAAACAGGGGTTGGGGGAATAGTGGTTCTCCTTGGGGGCTGGAGTTTGTTCATTTAGAAGAACTGGTAAAATCAAGAAACATAGGCCGTAAATTAAGGTCTTTGGATTTGATTAAACTAGCTCATTTTTCAGTTTCCTGGCAAGTTAGCTGACAAAAGAAATTGCAACAAGGGGCAGGAATTATTAAGGAAAGCCTCTGAATAGGGGAGGAATTTCTGGTTGTGTTTTTGTGTTTTAAATCAAGAAAACCCTAAGCATGTTTACAAGCAGAGAACCAAAAGGGAATAAAGTAAGCCCCACTTAAGAAGTGATGATGGGGCTGGAGAGATGGCTCAGTGGTTAAGAACACTGGCTGTTCTTGCAGAGGACCAGGGTTCAAATACCAGCACCCACATGGCAGCTAACAACCGTCTGTAACTCCAGTTTCAGGGGATCCAACAGCCTCTTCTGTCCTCTGAGGCCATTGCATGACAGAGATGCACTTACATACATGCAGGCAACACATACATACACATAAAATAAAATAAATAAAATAAAATAAAAAAGAAGTGAGGTGATCACTGATGAGTGATGGTACCCATGGTGATGGTACCCATGGGAGCAGCATTAGGCCTACCGAGAATGGGAAGGGACAGGAGTGCAGGCAGCAGACTTCTGAAGAAAGGAGTCACTAAGTGTGGAGGATGATTAGCACATGAGGGAGAAAGCTGAGGGAGCTCAGGTCAGCTTGTCACAATTTCTGTAAATCAAAGTACCAAGCTAGAGGCAAAGCTCAGTGGTAGAGTGCTTTCCTAATATGCATGAGACCCTAGGTTCAACCCTCAGTACCATAAATAAACAAACAAACAAACAAACAAATACATGTGCTGGATGTAGAAGGGAGGCCCCCCCAAGGATATCAGAGATTCTTGAACTTCTCCCACCATAGCTCACCTCCCCAGCTTGTTCCCACCTTCCTGAAAGGGTTCACAGGGAGCTAGAGAGAACAATGAAAGTGGCACTAAATTTTAGTAGGCTTTGATAGTTCCCTTAATCTTGATAAACAACCCTCATAGGACTTATAGATGATGGTTTTTGAAATTGAGCCTGTTC